GCTCGACAGTTACTCCTCAGTAACGACCCCCAGGTGACGACACAAAGAGGCTTAGCTACAAACAAACGTCTGCATTTGTGATATAGTTTATGGATACTGCACGGCACGGTGCTCTAAAAACCTGGAATAATTTATAGTGGAGTATTCAAAGAAACACTATTGTTTATATAAGTTAAAGGTTATTCGCAAGGCTGTTCAGGATTGCCTCTAAAGGACATTCAAGTTCAATAAACAGATTTCCATAAACAAATATGATGTGAAAATCATTCAAAATACATAGAAACGATAAATAAGTTAGTCAAGCCAAGAGGAGTCAATAAAACCGAAACGCTACAGCTATTCGTCTATTCATAAAGGTCGCCACTAAATAGGGAGGTTAAAGCCCTTAATTTGGGCATTCATGAAGTACGAATAGGTACTACGTAGAAACCTCTCAAACGTGCGTCGTATGACGAGACGTGACCTATTGACTTTCAATCAATTCTCTTTCGTCCATTTATGAGAACATCGTGGCGTTCCTAATAAAGTATAATAGATAAGAAGCATATAGACGTCACTCGCGATTATTTCGGTCCATACTTGTTGCGATTACTTTTTTTTACAAAGCCGTCTATTTAGAGACTGAGATGAATGTATGATGTGTGTTCTTATCGTAATTTATAACACATGTCAGTCATTACGAATGAGAAATAATAATGAACAAACTGAAAATGAGTGACAGCGTGCGATAAAAATTTTAGTGCTCGTGTTCATTTTTTTTGTAGGTATATAATACTAGTTAGGTCCCTTCACAAATGTTTTCCCGACGATGCGGAATAGGGATGTTTTGAACTACATGATCAATTATGTTACATCGTCACCGGTTACCGTCATTGATTAGCAGTTAGCACATGTGATCACATTATCTCCCAAACCTTGAAACTATATCCGCAATATTCATGTTTCGCTGTCCTTAATTAAGAGAATATCAGTTCCCAGGGATCGTTAGAAGCAAAAACAGCTCAGCTGATCACTGTTAGTTAAAATATCAATTATGCAAATACAGCATCCAAAATTACATTAAACCGCATCTCGTATATAGGTAAATAGGCGATGGCGTGCCTAGATAACAGTAATCTGGACAGCGATCTCAATTTATACTTCACAATACAATAAAGTGGTAGTTAGCGGGCCGATATCGACGCGAGAGCATGGCCGGGCGTGACGCGGCGAGGTTAAATCGGGCCAGGCGGCCCACGCAAAACCGCTAATTAGGAAGCGCACGCGCAAGGGCGCTGCACTGCCGCGCGCACGATGCGCAGGCGACTCCACACAACCGCTGAAACAAAGACAACCACCAGCTAACAAAAGAAACAAGCATTTGAACAAAAGAAACTGCTCATGTAACAAAAGAAATGGCCAGAGAACAAAAACAATGGCATGGCGGTGGAAACGCGAGGAGTATGCCACCTTGTTTTCAGGCACAAAGGGTGTTGTGTGAAATTACGTTTTGTTACGAATTCTGACGTGTCCGACATTGACGAGCGCCAAGCGTGTTTGCATTCTATGTATATATACAAGATTTTATAGAAGAAACTTCCTTGTGAGGTGCTATAAATCTAACGGTTCAGGCGTCACAAAACTTGCAAGTCGAATTATTAAGGATAAGGAAAATGCGTCAGTTCTAAACCGAGGAAGTTCAGACTAGAATATATGTTCAATAAAAACTGTTACAATAGGGAACATCCGCGCCGAGCAAGAAATACTTTAGTTGGATTCGCCGTCTCCCCGATGCCAATTTTCCTTTTTTCCATTCTTTGTTTTCGGGCTGTTGAGTTTGTACGAAACGACGTTGGAATTCATTACTTGAAGCTGTCATTCCAGCTGTCATGTTCATTGTGATGCGAACATTTTAATGTATCTCTGTCGACACTTAATATGTTTCAAGTGCGTGTGTAGATGAGGTCATTACAGGTAGCTTAATGTAAGGCTTCTGAGAAGACCACATGCCTGGGGTTGACTCAGCAACTGGCACTGGGTACATTTAGCCTTGTGTAAATACCATACAAGCTGACGATTACCGTCGCTATTATGCTTGTGCACGCTTCATTTGTATCTTAGTCATTCGCTCAGTATCTAGACACATTCGGATTACATAAGTAGGTATTTAGTAAACTAAATTCTCTAGTATAAATGGGAATACTATAGTCTTTATTGTAAACCAATAAGACTTACAGTACCCAAATCAAACAATACACTTAAACGACAAAGGAAATGCACAAAAGCGCAGTGATACATTTTCCTAATCCTACAACAAGAGCAATGAAACGTTCCGTGTATGTCATCTGGAAGGATGATGCATCCAAATCACTGAACAAAGCACAAAGATACGCTGCACATAACTCAACGGAAGCACTTAGTTCTATTTCGGTAATGTGAAAGCCCCCAAATATCGCGGTACGAATACAAACATTTCATCAAGTACTCGTTAAGAACTACATATGTTCAATCCCACTCAACTATTTCGACACTAGATTCTAAAGTTCTAAATAAGGATTATCAAATGGTTTGTTCGGGCCAAACTAAGTTCTCATTTTCTAAACGCCACTCAAGGAACATGTAGGTAATCAACGTCGGTGTTATATTTTATCGGCTGATAACACAAATAGTGTGTTAAGCCAATAGATGCGATAACATCACCCAAATCTTTACCAGTTGATAGGAGAAACAGTAATTACATATTCGGGGAAAAAGGAAATAAATATTTTATTTGTTTACTCATTACGATTAGTTAACGAGGTGTTTTGACCACACTTCCTTATGATTTTGTTGACAAATACCTATATCAGTAAGTAAAACGTATTTTACTCTGAATGTCAATTTATATTTTTAAAACCAAGCATCGGGTCCTTGTATTGTTGATACACAAAGCGACGACCGACGCTCCCTCGTTTTCCCACAACTTCGTAAAGTGGCATCGAGATTTACTCGCGCAAATATACATTTTTAAGTAGGCAACATGACGTCAATGGCTTCCCATTTACCCAAATAAATATATTATACATTCCGTATACATAGAACTTCTATTGTCAAATCACCAAACGTTGCTATTTCTTAAAACTGCGTTATACCTGCTCAATAATTTTTTACGTCAAATTCCATCAACGATTTTCGCAGAACTTTTTTTTGTTAGCTAACGCTTATTTAATAAGGCGGATAAGCAAGGAACATTGTTCCGGACAGAAGGACCAAAACGAAAGTACGATAATTCTTAATTTAAAAATATCCTTATGCAAACTGATATTGATTACCAAACACTTTCAATTAGTTTCGAGGGCGACTAAACTTCGGATCAGCCATTTTTTTTTTCTTTGCGTCCGTTCAAAGCCCCTTTTTATACGTTTACATGGATTTTCATGCGAGCAGGCAGGGGCATTAAATTAAAGTTTTGTATTCTACAAAAGGCAAGTTTCTTGTATTACAAGTTGTACCAAGTGTTTTCCTTTTACTATTGGCTTGAAACGAGGCAGCGAGGCAGCCAGGCAACGCGGCCGGCGGACGAGAGCCATTCGAATTTCAATAAAACTTGAAGGGGAATAAATCGGTATAGGGTAGCGGCTACGAGATATTGTGTTCCCGCCAGCTGACGCCGGGCACACAGCCCGAAAAATAATAAACGCCATTATTCTACTAATTGCACTTTCCGAACACATTTGTCAGTGTTGATTCAATACACATCTGCCATTCGGATATTGACTATTAAAATCAATTAAAAGATCTATTAATATGATTGCCGTCATTACTCAATAATATACATACAAACGCCACTGTACACGATGACGCTGGCGTAGTTTATTTTCCCGTTTCTGGTTTATTCTGAAATTGGCGAAAATAATGACGTTTAAATATTCATGATCGAGGAGCTGTCACGGGCGGTAGCCAACTAGAAATTCGTTTTAGGCCTACGACTACCTAATTTTCATGTTTGAGTTATCTGTGGTAATGTGGACGTGTTAATCGGTGACGGTGTTAGGGACCGACCAAATTAGTCTAGAAGTTGGGGGAACCTTTTCAAATGAGGTTGATATCAATAAATGTATTTTTAAACTTTGTGTGCAACGCTGCAAAAGAAGCCATATTTAATGGAATACAATACAACTAAGCTGTAAAGATTCCAGTGAGCCATAAAAAATCACAATAGAGTACGCGATATAAAATTTGAAACATAAAACCGACAGTTACTCGGTAGGATATTTATACGGCAGTTGAGAAAGATAAATTGTGGCTATATAGGTCTATGACGAAATTGGTAGTAACGTGAGACCCGCTGAAAATTGACGCTAACACTTGGAAGATCAACCTCTCCTGTCATTCGATTTGACAGCGTGAAATTGAAGTACTCCGAGCTGATAAAAAATGTATTATAATTAGTCGCACATCACCGAAATTAGTTTCGTAACTCATTGCAAAAATGGTTTCAGCGATTTTATCTTTAGATTTAAGTACCAATTTTAGTCAATAACAAAGACAATAGAAGCAAAAATGGGAAATAAATGAGTACTGAACCCGTAACATTTTTCACGCCTTCTTGGCACGCTATCATCTACAAAGGAACACGAATGGCAAATCAAGTCACATACGTGACAAATTACAGTTAGTCGGTAGACAGAGGCACACGAAAACTCACAATAAATAATGCAAAATTTTAAACTTTCAATTCACTGCTATAAATCTTGGGTTGCAGATAGAAATCGAACAAAGATAAAGTATCAACCCGCTCAATCGCTGACAATTCAACGAGTGAAACTCAATTACGCTACAGATAAAATATAAAACACTGGGCCGTTTGTTAGGCGCTTCAGCAGTTCCGAAGATTCTAAGTGGAAATGCAATCTTAGAGGACCCTCGCGTGAGGTCAATGCGCCTACGTTCACCGTTAAGAGCCCGTCATACGATCGTTTACGGTAACAATTATTTAGTAATGCTAGACAGCTAGACTATCTATACGGTAAAAAGGATACATTTCCTGGAAGAAGTCGAGGCTAGGCGGCTGTAGGATGTCTAACGCCGATAAGACCTGTAAAGATAAAACCACACATTAGTTGAGCGTTGAGTGTTCGCGACAAACGTTAGGCTTTCATCAAACCCTGTGCTAGCATGTTATTAGCGGTCACACAATCAACACTATGCAACGGTAACTCGTTTCAATGCAAATACGTGTTTATACGTAGAGACAAACGACAACCGCAAACAATACACGTTGATCGATAAAACACAGTGAAAATGAATAAATTATGAAGAGAGCGCACAACACATTATAATTATTTGATAATGTCCAATACAACCCTATTATCATAATAACGAGATTCGGATAAATAAGTATATTGGATCAGAATGGAATCGAGTTCCGTTGATAAATTGAAAGTGTTGCTGTATAGCCGAAGGGGTGGGCCAATTATAAACTTCAGGTTTGAATGTAAGAGCTTCAATTAACATTCATAAAGTAAAGCCAGAGTGCGGAAGGTCCCTCTAATTAGAAATGTAAAAACAAACGCGTCTCTAAGGTGTTCCAATTTAGTCGTTGTTAATAAGACTTCGTGGGAACAACTATTTGAACTGAACGTTATTTTTTAAACCAACGCGCTTGTTGAATTAAGAAAAGATGACGTAAATTGGAATGTCAAAAAATGGACCAATCCGACAATTGTTTATTAAGGCCGGAAAGTCGTTCGTGGAAAAATATTGAAATATAAATTTTGGTGTGTTGTATGTAATTTTGTCCAATGTACTTAGTATCGGAGGTTGTTGTTTTATGTATAGATCGAATTATATGGTTGCGGGTACTTGTGCTGTTGGCTCCAATCTCCAAGTAATCTAATATCTGAATCTAGGCAACCCCACACATGCATGTCTTGGCTATACATTCTTAGCTAGCAACTTTCTATACATCTATACATAGCAGCGGGACTATGGTACGGTGAAACTATTGGCTCCAACTATGCCTACAGTTTAAATATTTGAAGACAAAACTCCAAGTGTTCGTGAAATTGATAAAATACTTGAACGCTAAGTAAGTTTCAATGTTTACATTACTATTGAGGTTTATTGCTTTTAAAACATTTTTTAATTTGTGCGTGATCAATTACAAATGACAATATTTCACTGGCTGTTCAGTTATTAAAATACTGACGAAGAAAAGGTTTTAGTTGTTTTAAAATATGACGCGAATAAAGAGAGTAACACGCAGTTAAGAAACTTTCGTTCATTGGGAAATGCGTCATAAAAATGTAGTATCTTACTGGTTTAGTATTACCAAGAGCATCAATAACGACAATAATATTGCCAACTGACGTCATATTAATTGAAACACAAATGTCTTAGCAAAACAATAGTAAACAATTTGAAACGGACAAAATATGTGATGCGTAATACTTAAAGCAATGTTTGGTACAAACATACAAATAACGTTTAATGAGAGGTAAACAACGATGGTGTAAATAAATGAAGATGAGAGAATATCTCATTGGCTGCAAATGGAACTGCAGAAGTAGGGTATGACACTCACTTCTGAAGTCGATCTAAGCGTCATTGAGTATTTCTATTTTAGAAAATCAAAGAAAATCAGAGAAGAAGATGATGTAGTGATAAGGATTGAAAAGGGAATGTTACGCTGGTTTAAACATGTAGAAAGGATGGATGAGAGTAAAGTAACGACAGAGCAGATATGAATGGGGCCGTCGGTAGAGGGCAGCCTAGACGCACATATAGTGACCAGATTGGCGATATTAAAGAAAGACCAAATTAAAAGTACACTTAACCGACGAGAATACATGAAAAGATTGATGACTGTTGATGAAGCGAAAGAGGTGTGTAGGAATCGTAGTAATTGGCGTTCTATAATCTCTGCCTACCCCTATGGGAGACAGGCGTGAAGTTATGTATGTAAAATCAAAGAATTACCACGAAGTTTGGGTGCCTAAATTTTACCCTCTTAGTTTAATCGACTTACATATATCGAAGAACTCAAACGCTACTCAATTTTAAGTCGCGCTTGATTATAGTTCTGCCACTACAAATTCTTTTAAGATGACAGAGGCGGCACGATATTTAAGTAAAATTTAAAATTGAGTAGTCTTTCAGTATTCGGGTGTTAGTAAACAATTTACATGTGTACCTCGTTGTACTTACGTTTTCGTGTTTGAAGAAGCAGAGCATCTTGAGCTCTCGGAAGACGCGTTTTGAGGAGACGAGCGACTGGAATACATTGGGCAGTTTCTTTAGTGCCACGCGCCGGCCATCACGAGGGTCCGTCACCGCCCTGTTAACAATAAAGAAATAGAATTTTAATACTAATTGAAATCAGACATGTAGTTTCTTACGTTTTAGAGTAGTGACAGTTTCAAGTTAAAGAAAATGTAAATAAATTGTTGAATATCATATAACCGCCCATTGTATATCCCTTTTGGAAGAAGAAGAAGAAACTCTGCGCTCCGTCTTATGAAATCTTATTTAGAAGAAAGACAGTTAAAGGTTCATGTTAACGGTATTAACTCACAGGGCTCTGGGATGAATATGGGCGTTCCTCAAGGTTCAATATTGGGTCCCTTTCTCTTTTTAGTCTATATAAATGATTTGCCATTTATATTTAAAAATGAACCAAGAATGGTGCTTTTTGCAGATGATACATCATTAATTTTTAAAGTAGATCGACGTACAAATAATCTTGACGACGTAAACAGCTCCATTCTTCAAGTGCATAATTGGTTTACCATTAATAATCTAGCACTTAATGAAAAAAAAACAAAATGTATTAAATTCAGTTTACCAAACGTGCGTAGTAACGATTGTGATATTGTTTTGAACGGTCAAAAGTTAGAATTTGTCGACGAGACAGTATTTTTAGGCATTACGTTAGACAATAGGCTACAATGGGGTCCGCATATAAAGGCGCTTTCGGGGAGATTGAGCTCAGCTGCTTTTGCAGTTAGACAGATTAGACAGCTCACGGACGTGGATACAGCTAGGCTTGTCTATTTTAGTTATTTCCACAGCATTATGTCGTACGGCATTTTGTTGTGGGGTCGAGCTGCAGAAATAGAATCAATATTTATTCTGCAAAAGCGGGCTATCCGAGCAATATATAACTTACGCCGTTGCGAATCGTTGAGAGAATTGTTTAAAACGATAAATATTTTAACGGTGCCCTGTCAATATATATATGAAAATATAATGTATGTAAGGAAAAATAGGCAATTGTTTGAAAAAAGAAGCGATAGACACAATTTTAATACTAGAGGCAAAAATAAGTTAGCTATACCGCAATTCAGACTGTCCAAAGTACAGAAATCCTTTATGGGGTTAGGTATTAAATGCTATAATAAAATACCAAATAGCATACTAGATCTCAATGAAAGTAAATTTAAAACATATATTAAGCGCGAATTATGTAATCAAGCTTACTACACACTGACAGATTATCTTGAAGATAAGAATGCTTGGCAGCATGTTGGTTCGGCTCCACTGGACAATACTCAAATGTAGTCAGTAGTTAAATTCCAATAGTAGGTAATATAATACATAATTTAATACTTTAATTCTAATGTAGACAATCTAGTTTCCTTATGGCATCGAGCATTTCTTTCTTTATTGAAACAAAGAGTTTCCTTTTTCTTGTATAGAAGCACTATTTCTATGGATTGTCAGTATGCATATGTGAGCACCATGTTGGACTTAAGATCTTTATTATTTTTATTTTTATTTTAGTAAGTTAGTAGTATAATGCGTCAAGCGTGTCTTTGCATTGTTCTTACATATGCGTACAGTATTGAAATATGTATCAGAGACATTGTAGAACATACTTTTTTAAAAGAGTAACGAATGGAGTTTCTTGCTCGTTCTTCTCCATTCGAATCTACGTTTTGGAATGAGCACCTAGCTTCACCTAGCTTCACTGACGGACTGACTGACAGAATATTATTTATTTTGTATTTGTTGACATTTCAAAAGTACCAAACTATGGTTTAATTGAAATAAATGCTTTGACTTTGACTTTGACTTTGACTTTTCCTTTTTATAATATTAATGCGTATTTATATATATAATTTTTTAAGTTATAAATGTGTGTAAAATTAATGACAAATAGGTAGCAGCTTATTCATTTGAAGCAAGTACCTACTACGTTTTGAAAATAATCAAAGTTGGTCCTTCGAGTCGCTGCATAAGTAAATCATTCATTTATCAGCTCCAAGTTAATTATGTCTTTTCTGTATCATTTTCATAAATAAATCATTCAAAAATGCACTCTATATCGATGTAATTAAGGACAAGGACTTCAAAATATCAGGGTCACCGATAATGAACGGTAACTGTTGTCAGATAAGTCTCCACTCATTACTGAATTTTGAGTTAACATTTTATTTCAATGAGTACAATGTAAAGTTACTATTATTGTAAACTGTAATATACCTACACCAAAATCGTAATATTTACGTATGCTAATTTAAATAAATAATATCATAGTAAACGTTTTATTTTAACGTTATTTGTTTAACCATTACTTTTACGTTCGGAATGCTGGTAAGTGGCAGAAAGAAAATACAGTACAACACATTTTTTTAAACCAGCATCAATACTCCCATTCTTATCACTTTTTCAGTAGCAAACAGAGAGCTAAAGCGCTTTATTGGAATCGTTAAAGCGCATTGTTCCATCAATACTGTTAATTAATATACAATATACAAAGACACGTTCACAAACATTAACATTCTGAAATTGCATTATCTTCCTATTATAGACAGTCCGGTTTTCAACAATACTCGATTATCATAACAATACGGGTTAACAACAGTATGAGTTTACCCAGTGGTTCGTGACACGTATTGACATAAGCATTGGAATCCAAAGTTCAGAATTAGCATAACAAAATGCTTGTCCCAAGAAGGTGCAACTGCAACTAAAGATGTGATAATAAAAAAAAATATGAAAAGAATACCGCGCTGCGTTTGGTGGTGTTAAATAATTTATGCAGTCTGTATTTGAAATGAATACTATTTAACAGTTCGCTTTTTGGTAATGGGACTATGGACTACTTTTTTTAGTTTGTCAGTACTATCTTCATAGTTCAGCATAAGTTCAAAGAGAAGATCGAAATGTTTGCTTTCGATAAAACCTCCTTATTCCTCAACCATACAAAAAGCTTCGAGACCGAATACGTATAAAGTATAATTATGCCAAAACTTGTTTGGACAAAAACGGCGCTTTCAAAACGCAGTGTTTTGTGGAGGCTGAGAAACGTACCCTCGCATTACCGGGTCCCGTTAGGTCTGCCCTTGCGATTATTATTGTTCAGAACGCCAGGCCCGATAATATCCGTCGCGAGGGAAATAGGGATGCCGACCGGCTCCGAGAGCAACGACCGAACCCTGGCAACCAGCTCGCCCGGGTAATATTTGGACAACATTTCAAATTGTGGATGTCATTGATGTATTGCCTGATCTAACACCAAATAGAACAATAAATAACAAAATATTTCGGACAAGTCAGCTAGACAGAATCATAAATTCTACTATTCTACTAGTAACGCAGTACATATTTGTTATTCTTTTAATCGAATTTTAGAACCCCACAAGAATGGCAAACTTTATTCAAAGAATAAAAAAAATACGAGGAATCGATTAGAAGGACCGCCCGTTTAATTTGATGGCTTTTGTCCGCGTAAACGTTTCATTTAAAGCGCACCTATTGTCGATTCTTTTTGTTCTCTTTGAAAAGAACAAGTGTGTGTGACAAAGACAAAATACTGTACAGAGAATATTTTGCATTAAAACGAGAATTATTATTTTTACCACTGCAATTTTTGCCTGAAGTTGACATCAACATGCGGCGGTAATTTAAAAAACATCCTTTAAAACAAAACGGATAAGCCAACTCAGAATAAAAAATATAAACCTTAATTAACTTCATAAATGTCTGCAAATTGATGCTCAATTTTAATGGCATATATAAATTTTCGATTGTTTTCGTTTTATGACATGGCGTTTAATAAATGATATTCTTTGATGTAGGGTCAGAGTCACGACTTCATGAGGTACAAATTACAATACAATATTTATTTATGTCACACGGCATTCAATTCGGCAAGCTGAACGAGCATTGTAAACAAAGGAAGGAAGTATCCTCATTGAAGCAGTGGCCATAAGTAACTTAGTCACTTTTTGTTCATTCTATAACAGTTCTGCAAGTTCAACAACATTTATATAGGAACTTTGACACGCGAAATCAGTGGAGCAAAACTTCGAAATGAAAATGCGAGAGATGGAATGGACGTACATATGTACAAGCTCCAAAAGATATGCTAGAAACTGAACAATACACTGTGCATAGTGTTAACACTAAACAAAATCCTACAATAAGGTTTTTTAAACATAGAAACTATTCGAAATGAAGCCATAGAAACAATATTTTTCTTTTTTGAGTTCGTCGAGTCCCTACCAGTATCGATTACTGATCAAAAAACCAATAAACCACCTCTAAAGCTATTGGTAATAAAAACATTAGACATGATACGTTCAAATCGTAATTTTACGGTCCACACGACGACAAATTCCACAAAGAGCTATTAAAAATATGAAATATGACCGGTGCAGGTCCTCGGTGCGTCGTTGCTTTTTACGGTTTTTAGTGATAATTTCGAACAGTAATTGTTTATTCTTGACAAGTATTCGCTGGGGTTCAGCTCGTATTACTCCGACAATAAAACAAATAATTCAGGCCTGTTTAGCATGTGAATTTCAAGTATTTGGAAAAACCGAGGGAAACGGAATGGCGAAATTTTAGGAACAAGTGTTTGTGCAACGGAAAAGCAGCGGTATAGCTATTCGGTAAACTAAGTGCTTAACGTGCGCAATTAATTCTGGTGAACTTGCAAGATACGTTTTGCTTTTAAAGTTTATGGAAGTTCATATATTTTTACTGTATACTTTCACGGTAACTACATTGTGGCAGTAATTCTTATTCATTTTGGTTAAAGTATAAGTTAATTCTTCTTCATTCAAACCTCACATTAGAACAAATTCAATTTGACGTTTCAGAAGTGCCTAATCAAAGATTAAATGTAATAAATGCTTTGACTTTAATTATAAAGACTTCATATTCCTTACACATTCCGTATCCACGGTTATATTTCATTGATGCTTGAATGAACTAATCCGCGATTTACCATCCAATGATTGCCGTAACACAGTTAATCTCACAATATAAGGGAGTCAATATATTGTAGTAAATGGAAATGTTTGATGTTCATGGAATTTATAGGTAAAG